GACTTTACAGTGACATAGGAGACAATCTTGTTCTTAGTAGTAAAACTTCTGAAATTAGCAATATTTGTATTGTCATATGTTCAGAGGGAGAGAGAGAGTCGATGAAATCTGAATAATTCTTAATCCAAATTTTGATCATATCAGACATCCTTTTTCCTTTTCCACAGTTAGAATATAAGAGTGTATACTTAATATAGAACCATCTTAATTCTGGGACAACTCAGTCTAACACAATACTGGGACTCTGAAAAGACTAAAAAATAACATATAAATTATATATATATATATATTTCTATCTATTGCACTTTTTTATTACAACTTCAGTGAGTAACTATTAGTGGTTTATTGTAGTTTTGCTTATTTGGATTGATGTAATTAATGTATCATATCGCATGAAATAAGACCAGAAAACAAGGCTGCAAAACGGAAGTTTTATGAAATAGATTTTTACGTCCTGTTTCATTTGGTAAATTATGTTTTTTCACTTCCAATCACATGTGTTTCTGTGTGTGTGTGTATGTGTGTTTTTCTCCAATCCATTATTCTACTAAATCAATTTGTGCTGTCGTTCAATGAAGACATTGAATGTTTCATGGAGAGTGCGGTAAACGGGGAGTTTCTGAGAATCTGTGAGTGGCATGGTGAAAGTGTTGTAGCAGTAGTCCTCTTTTGAAGTAATCAGATTACATAATAAATGCAGCTAATGATGCAGCAGATGGCTTTTGGAAGATCTGACATATAAATAAAAGAGTAACAAAAGTTTTTGGGAGTTTTGTTCACTCAATACTGTCGTTTTCTTCTTTTTATTGACCATGCTGGCTGTTCTTTATGTGACATTTTTAATCTGGCTTTAAATTGGGGGTAATCCAACTTTAATAATCTTCCATTATAAAATGATATCTGTTCAATTTATACCTACTTCCTGTTTTTAGTGGCATTGTTTTTGATGTTTTATCGTACATCGCTATTGTAAACATTTTTGGTTTTGGCCTGACAGTGTTTTTATTCCCATCTTTTGAAAGGCGCTGCGTAAAATAATCATTATTATCAGATCATAATAATGATGTAACATCAGTATGTTAGCACTGCTATTGTGAACATGATAGCAGTAGCAGGCAATAGCATTTAGCACCACATCCAAATTGATTATTATTCATATGAATTTTGAGACATTAACATGGCAGAAAGGGGTCACTTTTATAACTCAAATCACTTTTAGCTTGAGCTCTCTGATTTCCATTTTGACATCACTTTGAAGGAGCCAAAATGTTTTAATTTGCATTTGCAATTTGCATTAACTTATCTGGCCTAATTGTGTTTCTTCCTGGGGCTGTTGAATCTGTTCTTCATTCAGACAGCTTAGTTTCAGTTTCTTTACTACTTTTCTTTTTTTTTTGTTGGAGTTAGATAAATTGATCTGGTTGTTTGCCAGAACATGTGGCGTTATCGTCCTGCTGGGCTGTGTGATAATGTGAAGAGCATTAAATATTCAGTTAAGAGGAAGTTGAGTGTCACTACATTATCTGAGATGTCAGGCATTTATTGATGACTATCCTTTATCTGTTAGAGATGAAAGGACACACACACACACACACAATCACACACACATACTAAAACCACTGGGAGTAATATTATTTGTCTGATAGATGTAGTCTATTTGTTTCATGAATTATAGATCTTACAAAATGTCATCCAGAGCAAGATGCCTGCTCTGACTCGCTCGCTGTGTGCATGACATCACCTTGACAGATGAGCCCTTTCAGCAGCACTTGCTGGAAGTTTTAACTGGGAAACTCAAAGGGTGGCAATCAATAAGTGAAGCTTTTTAAAATGCTTGGTTGTTTCCTCTACTGGGCTGAATCTTTAATTAGACAGAGCCCCCCTTATGTCGAAGTGGGTGGTGTGTAAGTCCATACAGGCTGCTTGTAAACCTGAGCAATAATCTGTTTGTAGTTTGGCATCCTCCACAGACAGACTTAAACAGATTTAAAGCTCCCCATGAAGTGTGCTTTAATGCTTTAAGTTAAGCTATGGGCCTCTGATGAAATTAAAACAACTCAAATCAGCATGCAGAAATAGAATTACAAGCAGGAATAATTCACTTTGTGAATGAAAAAGCACTCTCCGGCTGCTCTGCTTATCTTCTATCTTTTCCTTTTTTCTTTTTTTTTGGGAGTTGGAATCTGTCAATGAATGTGTAAAGGAGATGTAAGAGGGAGAGGAGGAAGTCTCACTGCCATTAACCTGAGACCACCCTCTCCTTCCACCCCCCTCTCCCGGCTCGACCCTGCTCCACCTCCTCTCATTCATTCAGACCCGGCCCTGGCGGAGAGGAAACTGCTGCCCCCTCGGGGATTGGGCATCATAATTATATAGGAAGCGGAACAGTCTGCCTTCTGTTAGAGCCGGAGAGGCTGCCAGCTGGTCACACATGTCCGCTAATGTGCAGTGAGCAACTGGTCATAACATGGATGTGGAGCTGTCTTTCTGACACTATTTGGAAGGTAAGATAATCTCTTTCATTAATCTTCTAAGAGTTCAACAGAGAGTGATTACCATGCAGTGCTGTTAAACCTCCTGCTGCTCCCATTCTGTTCAGTTTGATTAGCTTGTTGTTAGTGATCATCTCTGCAAACTGCATTACAAATATTACTATAACAAACCATAACTGAGGTGTTTAAATAATAGCTTTTGAAGCAGTTTAACAAAACTTTCCTCTCTCTGAATGAAGCATGAAGAGCCTCTTGCCCGGGTTGATGTTAAACCAATTTACTGTGGTTTTACGGAAACTGATCCGTTTGCGTCTGCAGGCTGTTTCTGAACTCTGAAGGCTTAATTTGATTTATTGCCACTGGAGATGATCAGAAAAAAATCAGTAGGACACCACATCAGCCCTTTGGTCTTGTACCAAATGATCAGATAGCAGTATTTCACACACAGATTAGAGGAAGTTTTTTAGTCAGGGTATAATCAGTCAGATAAAGACATTTAAAAAGTAAACAATCAAAAAGATTTTTTCAATATCATTGATTTGAAGAGTTGGAGAAGTCGTAAAGGCTTGGCACCATTCATAAATGTATCTCTCTGCCACAAGAAAACTTTCCATTCCAGTCTTAAATGACATTTTCTGGTACAATGGAGCTATTTGTCCTTGTATCAATGGGGCTTTATTTGTTTCTCCTCCCTTTGCCTTGTGCACAACTCTATAAAAAGCAACGTTTTCATAACAGACTACATTTTGAATTTCTCGTTTTCATGTTGTTTCATAAATGTGTTAAAGATACAAGGCATGGTCCTGTAATCCTGTTATGACTCAGACGTTTTGAATGTGTCACAGAGTAAGAAGAGGAAGCAGCCATGTCAGAGAAGAAGCCACGAGGCTCAGACACACGTCCCAAATGTGGGCTCCGCAGTTGGAGTGCAGACAGTTATGTTTGGCGGGGGAAGAAACGCTCCCGGAGCTCTCGCAACGGGTCGAGTCCCGGAGGGCTGGAGACGGAGGGGACGGAGGAGCTGGGTGTGCGGTCAACATCCTGTCCAAGGCGGCGCAGAGAGAGAAAGTGTAGCTGCAGCACTCTCGGGGATGCACTGACCTCTGCGGACATTGATGTGGTGTGTCGAAAGGCCTTGTCCCGACGCTCTCTGCGGCAGAAGTTTCAGGATGCTGTGGGTCAGTGTTTTCCTCTGCGCTCTCACCACCATCATCATCATCACCATACATCGGGCTCCTCGCGACCCTTTTCGGTGCTCTTCTGGTCTAAACGCAAGATCCACGTCTCCGAGCTCATGCAAGACAAGTGTCCCTTCTCCCCCAAATCTGAACTGGCCCGATGTTGGCACCTTATAAAAAATAATGCCACCCACCAAAGTGCCCTCAAGGACATGGAGGCTCCCCTCAAACCAAATGTGTCTTGTTCCTCTACCTCCCCACCACAGACCCCCCTCTCCTGGGAGGACATCTGCTCTCCCGGGCCTGGAGGCACCAGTCTGGAGGACTGGGACCCTTCATGTCCTCACAGGGGAGCAGAGGGCATGTGTGGCCACACTGACTACATCCTGGTGCCAGATCTGCTCCAGATCAACAACAGCCCCTGTTACTGGGGTGTGTTGAACCGCTTTGAGGCGGAGGAGCTGCTGGAGGGCAAACCAGAGGGAACGTTTCTGCTCCGAGACTCAGCCCAGGATGAGTTCCTCTTCTCAGTGAGCTTTCGTCGCTACAGCCGCTCCCTGCACGCACGCATTGAGCAGAACGACAAGCGTTTCAGCTTTGATGTGCGTGACCCGTGCATGTACCGGGATCCCAGTGTGACAGGACTACTGAGACACTACAGTGACCCAGCCACCTGCCTCTTCTTTGAGCCCCTTCTTTCCCGGCCGCTATCGAGGACCTTCCCTTTCTCCCTCCAGCACTTGTGCAGGACTGTGATCTGTAGCTGCACCACGTACCAGGGCATAGACATCCTGCTGCTGCCACCTCAGCTAAGGGACTACCTCCGACAGTACCATATTAAGTGTGATGGGGCCTGCGCTGTGTGACAGTCAAAAGCAGGCCTCATACCATGGAAGGAAAATATAGGACAGCAAAAGCAGGTTCTCTTGGCAAAGAAGCAAGAATACTGCGTCGCTAAAACTGCAATACCTTCACTTTTGCAGATCTTTGAGGTCTGCAAGGTGCAGAACTGGAGAACTGGAGAACCATTAAACCTACGGAGGATCATCAGTCTTCTTTACAGGCCTGAATCTATATGTTGTAGGAACACATGGATGTAATGTCAGTTTGATTTAGGTTTTATGCTTCCAGTCATCTTGATAGCTACTGGAGCCAGGGTCAAGCTGAAAGAACAAGGCAGCAACCACAGCTGTGATACACTGAGACCTTAATTAAGCAAACAGGCCCCAAACATTTATCTTAATATCCTTAATGGAGTAAGGATTCTCAAAAATTACCAATACATTCACCCTCAGTTTTTATGGACTCCTGAAGCTGAAGCATTTTCCTCTTGACTTCAGTTCAATCAGAGTTGTCTTGTTTGGGCATCCAGTATCTCTCGTGGCCACTAGAGGAAGTGCACCTTTCATGGTTCCTGGCTGAGACCAAATCTTCTTTCATGTACCTTAATATCGTGAAAAAATGCAATGTTTTGCTGTGGACCTGCACACAACCAGTGCTGTCAAAGGTTAGAGGTATAGAGACTCCAACTGCATCTAGTAATATCCAGACATTATTCATTCTTCTTTAACTTTGCTATCGCGCTGAAAAACACTGCTGTGGTCAAACTAATCACACACTTCAAACCACATCTTACGCCAAAGACTCTGTGTAAAAATTGTGGTTTGTGAACTGCACCTGACTGATCACTCAATACATTTACCTCCTTGTGAGAAAGCTGAGGGCGAACTGAAGATCAGAGGACTGTTTTTCAGCTTGACTTTTCATCTGCTACCAAAAATGGATCCCATCAATTTTGGTGAGAGAACGACCGACACATAATGACAGAAAAAGAGACAAATAACTTGGTGCAAGTACTCTAAACGTCACAAACGTATGCCTCTGAACAGCTTCTTATGAAGAGGATTAATTCAATGGGACTGTATTCTTCTCTGCAGCCACAAGATGGCAGCACAGCTGCACTGTCTGTCTGTACACTACTGAGCTGCTTCTTTGCCATTGAATCTTAGCTGAAAGCTCCTTTGTAAACTGGTATTTTAACATCACATGTGCCTATGAAGCTTTCCCAAGTATTGTATTTGAAAGACTGCGGATATGATGGACTGGAATACAGTACACTAGTATAGTACCAAGCACTATTCTAAAAAGTATTTGAATAACCCTTGAGACATACATTGTATTCACCACGCTGATACACAAACCAATAAATGCCATTTACACTGCTTTTGTGGTATGACTAAGATTTTTTCTTTTTTTCATCTCTGCACCGATTTAATGGTGCAGCTTAAGTCACGCTTATCCACGCCTGCCTGTTCATGCTGCATGTCATAGTTAGACAAGCTAATGGTATGGAAAATTCTGCTTTTGAAGTAACCCTCTCAAAACAATTCATCCCGCTCTCTGCAAAGGACACCTCTAAATGCCAGCGCTTCAGCAGAGCAAAGGGAGAGATAAGGACATGAAAAAGACTGTTTCCCTCCCCTATAACACGGGTGGAATTCAGATTTTTCAGTTGTCTCATGTGTCATTCAGCTTCTCTCTCTCTCCAACTAGCAGTGTAAAATGGAGTGAGTTGTATGAATATAAAACAGGACATGAAATCATACGGCCATTAAGTTTTCAAGTAGGTTTTTTTCCCTCAGTACAACAGCATTTTACCTCCACATACCTTGTCCTTCTTTCCATTTTCATCAAAGTTCTTTATTACTTATTTAATTATTACTGTTTCACTTTAGATATAGGTAATTAGAGCTGGTTTGGCTCTTAGACTTTTGTAGTTGCACAAATGTGAGAATAATTTAAGCCTTAAATAGATTCATGTTAAACCTTAAAACTTTAGCAATCCCGCAGAGAAATAATCTGTAACATCTGCTGACAACTAAAAGAAGATGGAAGACATCTTAAAATGTCCCTAAAGGGCTCAATGAAGAAAAGCATCTGCACCCTCTAATCTCTTCTAATGTGTGCAAAGGTTTTATTTATTTTACACGTCAGAGACCTTCTTAGAGACAAAAATCAGTAAATAAAATAATATTTGAGTGTTTGGATGCTTTTCTTCATTGAGTTTGATAGTCTGTAGCTCCAGCGTCTCAGTTAAGTCTGATATCAGATGTGCTGTGTTTTTTTCCAGAACATGTCCCTACAGAAAAAAGCACATGTGAAAATAATGAAATTAATGATGGTTGAATTCCATTTAGCTGCTTCAGTTTCCGGGATGTGGTACTGCACAAGCTGACTCTCTCTGCTTACTTCTGCTCCTACCCTTTGTTAATGTTATTAGTGGTTCTTTTCCTATTATCCTTAATGTCTTGTTTCACTCATAACTCAGTCTTTCCCATCCTTGTAATTGTTAAATTCTTCCTTAATATAAAGGTTTTCTGTTGGAGAGGACAGAGGATATCAACGTCAAGCTGTAGCTCAGAATGCCATGTTTTACATTGTGAAAGGAGATTTAATTTAGCCTAAATACAGTAGATAAGGGTCTGTTGATTGTGGATTTGGAGAGTAGATGTTTATAACAGAAAACCTGGGATACAAACCAGAGGTGAGGAGTTTAAAAGTGATGCAGATTTAACAGGTAGAGGGCCTAGAGCTATTTTCCTCCAAGACTTTTCTTTTTTTTTGGATTTGGAAATCTATAGCTGCCCAGCTAAGGAGACTCAAGTCCTAAATATGTCATTAAATATAGAGGAAAAGGTGTTAAAAAACCTATACTAATACACCTAAAACTATATCAGGACATTTGAGTCTCTGTTGCGTCTATTGTAACTATTTGTGAAGAAAAACCAAGAACTAGACACCTTCAGGAAATGATGAACTGATGATGATCTCGCACCCATCAGCCGTAGACACAGTTTATCTCTTGTGTTTGATCCCTTTGACATACAGTCAGCGGACAGAGTCAGGAGCCACATCTATCGATTGTCCTGAACCACATACATGAAATATTAATGTTGTCTTGTATGATCCAGTTAGTGAGCATCATTTTTCAGCTGCTTGAAGCCAACATATAGAGTTACACTAGATTCATGATACATTTGATATCCAAATCTGAGTGAGGAAACATTGGTTTTAAGGTTTTTAGTTCATCCAGGACAGATCCATGTGCATCAGGGTCTGCTGTACGTGTTCACGCTTGGACTCTGACTGGTTTGTGAAAACTATTGTATTTCACTGATGTAATATTTAGACACCCAGCTGTCTGCCAACAGAGTACTTCCTGTTGCACTAATCAAATTCTCCCCCGAGACGTCGCTCAAAACAGGCGAGCGGAGACTCAGCCAATGGCAGGTTGTCTTTAGCAGGCTATAAAAGCAGAGAGGTGCACACGCCGTATATTAATAGCTACTTGAATGGATAAATAATTTAATAAATGAAAGCGTCATCAGTGAGTGAATATGTGTTTCCGGGCCCTGACTTTAACCTCTCAGCCTCACCTTTGTCACGTTTGGTACTTTTTGTGGTGTAAAAAATATGGTCTGAAATACAAAAGAGGATGATTAGAGATGATTAAGTAAATGTGAGATGTGGATAGATACACCAGAAAGATATTAGGACATGTTATATGGGAATTCCTGAAACTGGAAACTGAGGAAACATCTGTGTTCTTTTATTTTGAATTTCTCAAAACAAGTTCTTGTATAATATTCATGATGTTCAGTGCAAATACAGTGGTGCCTTGTGTATTTGCTCAAAAGTCAAAGGAAGGTAAATGGTGTACCTGACTGAGGAAAGGTTTCATTTCTTATGTGAATGACACAAGACTGCAGACAATGTTTATTTGATGGGCTTTTTCTGGTCTTGTTTTTTTTTATTAAATTGTCAATCTCTTTTGACTTGACTGGCAGATGATAATAAAACATTTCAGGTGTGTTTAAGGAAAGGAGCCTTTTCTGTGGCATTTGTTGTGTTTGAAAGAAGACAGGAAGCTCTTAGTTTGCATTTTAATGTTTTATGTTTTATTTCCCCTTAGGTGTGTAAAAACTACAGGTTATGAACTTCTCTTAAAAGTACTAAAATATGAAATTATCAGTGATCTTATCAGTAATTATTGCTTATTGTATTGGCTGAAAATAAAACTTATCGTGCATCCCTAAGTAATATATAATAAGTGATAATAATAGTTAGAATTAGTCATAAGAATAGGCTTTAAACTTTTGGTTTCAGTTTGCTGTGGCGCAGTGACCAAAAGTAAGTAATTAGGCCACATTTACTCAAGTTTGGAGGTTATTTTCATCCCACTCTCTCTGCTCCACTGAATTTCAGAGGCAAAAATGTTCCCTACTTCACATTATTTAATAATATATTATTAACTTAAGATAACTTAAATCACTTTCCGGGTTTTTATATCATCAACATGTATGTATTATTATAGACTTTATTGAAACCGTCAAACATTAAAGAGGTACACAACAACGCACCAATAATCAATGATAATTGATTATAGGATTATAATATAGTATTATGTTGTTATTATTGCTGCTGTGTCAAGATGAATTTCTCCTTAGGGGGATAAATAAAGGGATTATTCTTATCTTATCTCGTATCTTATTCTGAAATGGGGCCACACACCTGACTTTTTGGCGCATGGGTGACACTCGAACCGTGGGCGCGGTTCGACGGGTTGGCGTTCAATGACGAGCTGGGGGGGTTGGGCGCGCAGCGTTTCCTGTTTCAACGCAGGCGGCGGGGCAGATTCAGGTAGCAGAGCAGCGAGTTTGTGGAGCCCCGGGAAAGCTGTTGGTTACAGTCACTTGTCTCGGTCTCAGAGGCTGCTTAGGACTTATTGGAAGTGCCAGGTACTTGCTCACGGACGCTTTCAGGGTTCGTCCGTCTGGTGGGTTTTGTGAGAAAATGGCCTTTGTGAGAGGAGCCGATGCGTACGGCCACTCGAGACACACCGAGGTCTTTCTGTTGGTTATGCATTCGATGACTCTGGAGGGAGTAGGGTCGTGACATTATAAAGGCTCTTATGTTCCTTATCTGCCAACTGTTTCTGCAGCTGTTTTATACCTTTACTGTGCCAATGTATATGTTTATGATGCATAGATATAATGTTTATTTCTGCCCACTACCCAACTTACCCTATTATCCATCTGTTATTTAAAAAGCTGTTTATAGTGATAAATGATTAGCTGGCCCAGTTGAATTTTAATACCCCTTACATATTGACCATGTACCTTAACCCGATCAGACATATTCCCACCTTTATTGACACAGGGTTATTATATATATACTATAATAGCGCCCTCCGTACTCATATATTATTTTATGGCTTTAATCTTTCTTGCCTTTTGCTCTATTCATTCCTCTAATTTGAGGGTATTTACCATAAAAAACGAGAATTATTATTTTTGGATCTTTTGCATGTTCTTCTCATTTATGTCTGTGGCATGCTCAATTTAGTATATTCCAAATCCTCAAAGAAAAGAGAATGATCGTTGGTGAAGGTTTAATATTTTCCAGTCATCTATTGTGCTCCCTTAAGGACCTCAATTCTGGTTTGTAGATTTTTTCTGTTTTGGGCATAGCGTTGGTGTAAGGGGCTCCTCACCTCTGCGTTGGTATCCCAGGTTTTAGGCGTGTTAGTGTTTTGGCCAGGTGTTGGATTCAAAATACCAGATTTGTCTACTCTTTTTACCTTTATAATCCACAATTCACCTCAAGAACGCGCAAACTGTAAATCACCATTTAGTCTATTCCTCTTGGGTAACAATTTAGCGCATTGTAAAATTAATATAATATCTCCTTTCCACAATATGTAAAACATGGCATTTCTGTTGCATAACATTAAGAACATTTTGACCTATTGTTCTTGAATGTCCAATGCGCTCTCTGTTCCTCAATACTCATTTTGATATAATTATCTGACGATATTTAAAATTAACAATTTTTATTATATTAGGAAGTTATGGTTAATTATAAATCAATTTATAAAAAGATATGGAAGTAGGACTCTGCAAGTTATGGAGTTGAAACAAGAATCCACCTCCTTCTCCCGTTTTTAAGGATAATTAGGAGAAGAACATCTAATAACATTAAAAACAATAAGTGAGTATTGTTGTGTAGATACACCGTTCTAAGCCGACGCAGAGTCTAGCTTGTAGCTACGTACCTACATTTCCTCACGGAAACTTTGAAGCAGCTAAATGGAAATTCAACCATCATTAATTTATTTTCAAATTTACCTTTAAT